CTGCACAAGACAACATGTTGGTGGTGGGAGTTCCCTTCCTCCTCTAGCCCCTGCAGCCTGCTCTGTCCCCGTTTCCTGGCTGCTGCTCAGGGAGAGGGGTGGATGCAGCAGGGTGCCCTGTGGCCGGGCGGAGCGCACCTGTCTGCTCAGCTAGCTGACACGGTGGAGCCAGGGCCATGTACAGTTAGAGTGACTCGGAGTCCACGCACCAAAGGCCTGTTCTCTGAAAGATACCCTCTCCTCCCCTCCCCTTCCCACTCTGTCCCTGACTGCTGACTCGAGCTGGGCTGAGCCTGGGGTGAGAGGGCGTGTGTGCAGAGGCGTCCAGACAAGGTTGGGGATTAGGCCTGCCGCCCTCGCCGGCCGCCCTCGCCGGCCGCCTGTACCCTCTCATAAACCGGTTCTGTCAGATGGCAGAGACTTGCAGTGAGGCTCTCCCTGAAATGCTTTCTTTTCCCCTGCTCCTCGGCCCTGTGACCCTCGCCCCGCCCTGTTGGGGTATCTCTGTGAGCTGCGTTTGTTTTTCCACTTCACCGTCAGCAGGATTGATGTGGGAAACTTGTGTGTGGACCTTTGTATCTGGGGATTTTTCCGGCCCAGGTTTGGGGAACACTCTTGGCCTCTGAGGGTCCGCAGTTAAAGACTGCCTTTCTTTGCAGTTTGCTCAAGTCCACCCCCAAGCTGCCGAGCACACCGCTGAAGGCCAAGCGAGGCAGCACCTTCCAGGAGTTTGAGAGCAACACCAGTGACGCCTGGGACGCCGGGGAGGACGACGATGAGCTGCTGGCCATGGCGGCCGAGAGCCTGAACTCCGAGGTGGTCATGGAGACAGCCCATCGCGTCCTGCGGAACCACAGCCAGCGGCAGGAGCAGCACAGGCTGCAGGAGGCCATGCTGCCCGAGGAGAGGCCCCAGCCTTGGGCACAGGCTCCCCCAGTCCCCGGCGGCGACCCCTGGCTGGTGAAGTCTGTCAGTGAGAGCCACACACCCCGACCTACAGGTAGCGGGGGAGACTGAGGAGACAGTGTGCTTCCCAGCGGGGCCCGAGCTCTTCCCTGGGGGAGCCGGGGGATTCCCATTCTAACTGCGAATGGGGAGCCCCTGAGGTCATCTTCCCAGGCGTTGGGCCTAAGAAGCCCTCGCTCTCTCTGAGCTCTTGACCGTCTTCCTGTGTTTCCTGGCTGTGGATTCATCGCTCTCCCAGTAGGATGGAGGCAAGGCTTCCGGCTCCTGCTTTGCGCTTTAGTGGCTGGTGCTGAAGGAGGACATGCTGGGCTGGGTCAAGAGGTCAAGGCCATCTCGACGGGGGGAGCAGCCAGGCACAGAGGCAGGAGGCGTGTCCGGGTGATTCGGGTGCTGTGTCATCTTCATGCTCTGCAGGCTCCTTGAAGGCAGGGGCCATGTCCGCTTGTCTCTCTCTCCTTGGTGTCTCCTTAGTTACATACATTCTTGTTACATATGTGCTTGTTACATACCAGCTTGTTACATACCGACTTGTCACATACAAACTTGTTACATACATTCTTGTTACATATGTGCTTGTTACATACAGGCTTGTTACATACCGACTTGTCACATACAAACTTGTTACATACATTCTTGTTACATATGTGCTTGTTACATACCGGCTTATTACATACGCGCTTGTTACATACCGGGTTGTTACATACACGCTTGTTACATACGCGCTTGTTACATACAAACTTGTTACATACATTCTTGTTACATATGTGCTTGTTACATACCGGCTTGTTACATACGCGCTTGTTACATACCGGCTTGTTACATACACGCTTGTTACATACGCGCTTGTTACATACTGGCTTGTCACATACAAACTTGTTACATACATTCTTGTTACATATGTGCTTGTTACATACAGGCTTGTTACATATGCACTTGTTACATATGCGCTTGTTACATACAAGCTTGTTACATATGCACTTGTTGCATATGCGCTTGTTACATACAGGCTTGTTACATACGCACTTGTTACATACGTGCTTGTTACACACAGGCTTGTTACATACCGGCTTGTCACATACAAACTTGTTACATACAGGCTTGTTACATATGTGCTTGTTACATACAGGCTTGTTACATACGTGCTTGTTACATATGCGTTTGTTACACACGGGCTTGTTAAGTGCCCAGAATTTTCTTTAAGGGCTTGGTGACTCTGGGACTCTCGCAGCCGTACCCCCGCCCTGGCAGATGCGCAGCACCCCCACATTTGTGCCCATGGATGCACACGCGAGGGCAGGGTGGGCTGTCTCTGCACCAGGTGATTGAATGGGAGCCCAGGTTGCTTTACTGCCCATCCCGACAGTGCTCTGCATGTTGGAATGTTCTGGAACATTCTGCCTAATGTGGTACAGCTCACAGGCCTGCGCTCACACTGTGGACACAGCCCTGCAGCTGTGGCACTCGGCCCTGGAAGCACCATGGCACCCTTCACAGTGCCGTGCACCCACCTGCCCTCCACACCTTTAGGCCTGGGTAGAAGGTCGGGTGGAAGTTCAGTGACAGTGTTGGGAGGCGGGCTGTAGGCTAGTCTTCTGTGCCTTTTCTTCACTTCTTGGCTATCTCGACCTTCTTAATAAATAGCTAAAAACATCTACCACCTTCACACCTGAGATCAGATGCCCTTCGACTGACTTGGTGGCCGGCTCCCTCTGGGTTAACTGCAGCGACACACTTTAGGTTAAGAAGGTTCTGGAAGCCCCTGGGCAGCGGATCATGGCACCTGGAGGAGTTGTTTCCTCAGCTGTCCGGACCAAGCTGTGAGCCGGGGTCTGCGTGTGAATGCCGACCGCTGCCGGTGGGCTCCCTGTGTGAACGCTGACTACTGCCGGCGGGGTCCGCGTGTGAACTCCCGACGGCTGCTGGTGGGGTCTGTGTGTGAATGCCGATCGTTGCTGGTGGAAACTTGTAGGGTTTTTTTTCTGTTCACAGTGACACTGCAACCTGGTTGTCAGTCTTATTGTTCCCTCAGGGGACACCACTGTGTCTTCTGCCTTTAAAATTCCAGCTGCCCCATTTCAGAGTGGGGGCTGGAATGGAGCTCTGCTAAGGCGTAAGTGGGGCATTTAGTGTCTCAGGAAGGTCAAATCGGTCATCTCTAAAGACTGCAGGTGAATAAAATGGAGCACATTTAATTCTGGAATATAATGTGGAGCTGTGCTTCCTGCTGAATATTTCTCCTGCAGAATCTTCCAGTTCAGTCCAAGGACGAGACTCCAAGGAGGGAAAAGGAGTTTGAAGTGTTAGCCCCCTGTAGCCCTCCTCCCACACTATTCTGGATTGTTCTTCCAGAGCCCTGATTGTCAGGTCTTCCCCGAGTTGAGGCTGAGTGGGAAGGGTGGTGGTTTCCAGGTACTTCCTAGCAGAGTGGGGGCAAGCTCCTAGCGCCTGCAGGGCTGGACCCGGGACGGGGGCGCTGGGAGTGGGAACCATCAGGATAGGGGAGCCGGGGGTGCTCTGAGCTTGGCACTCCCCCAACCCCGCAGGCTTTTCTGGAACGGTAACTGGGCCAGCTTCTGCCCCAAGGCCTGGTGCTTTGCTCCTGGCAACCTAGGGGTTTCTGCGTGACGCTCCCCCTCCAGCCTGCGTTGTGATGAGGTGCAGAGGCCTTAGTGCCCAGCTTGTCATGGCTACGGAAGTGGGCATCAGCATGTGTATGGATTGTTGTCATCATGCCCCACTTCCTGGAGTTTAACTTTGGTTTAGATTTCAGTTTTTAAAAATGTGATTGCTAGAGGGTGTTTAGACTTAGGAACTTAGAGTGTTTGGGGCTTCCTGCGTGTCGTCCCCGGTGACGCTTCGTCGAGTGGCCCGAGGGCCTTCGAGTCTGTCCTGGGCCGTCCTGGTCTCGGGTGCTGGGTATCCCACAGGTCCTTGGGCCATGATGGGGCCAGGAGGGCCTTTGTGTGCAGAGGCAGGGGGTGCGCAGGCTTGCCCTCTCTCTGGTCCCATCTGCGTCACCCTGTGTGGGGGTCTGGGCAGACGCCAGCCCTTGGCCGCGCTGGGTGTGGTAGTGCCTGCCCCTCACAGGGCTGTGGTGGGATCGGGGGGTTCAGACAGGCAGGGCCGTCAGGCCGTCTCTGGAGACAGCGGTGGGCTCTCCTGAAGTGTCCTCGGCCACGGGCATGTCCTGGGGTTGGCTTCCGTCCTTGGTGCCTCTGTGGGCCTCACCCTTACCCTTCACGTGGGACTCGGGAGACTCGTCCTCCGTGCTCAGGCCTGGGAGACCTTGCAAGACCTGCTCCCACCCTCAGGTCACATCACCTGGGCCGGCCCTGATGGCCCTCCCAGGGCAGTGGGAACCCTGACCACCTGGCACCCCGAGCCTGGTCTGAGCTTTCTGTGGTCAGTGTCTCTCTTTATGCTGGCTGTGTCCACTTATTGGAGCACTGCACTCTGCCAGAAAGCCAGGTTAAGTCATGGGCTTTAGGTAATTTCATTTAATTGTTCAGGGAACCAAGGTCCCCCAGTACTCAGTGACGGGAGGAAGGGATAGCTGTGACATGGCAGCAGTGACACCCCCACTTTAGAATTTGTCTGCAGGCTGCTCTTTTAATATGTGAGTTCAAAGTGACGCAGGAAGTGCGGGGCCTTCTAGTAAAGACCGTGACCGTTGAGGGCCGTTCGGGAGGTGCATCCTGACCCTCTGTTCTCTGATCCTCTGCAGAAAGTGGCAGCGAAGCAGGCCCCCTGCAGCGGTCACAGTCTCTCCCCCACTCCTCGACCGTGGCACTGAGCGGTGGGGTATCCGACCACAGTGCCCTCGGCAGCTCGGCCCTGAGCGAGAGGGAGGCCTCCCGGCTCGACAAGTTCAAGCAGCTCCTTGCTGGTCCCAACACAGACCTTGGTAAGTTCCCTGTCCTTAAAGAAGACACACATTTGGTTTTGTTGTTTCTGAAACAGATGAAGGTCCTTGAAAGAGTCAGCTGATCGTTATATAATGTGCACACGTCCGTGCAGAGTTTGCCTTGTGAGAAGTTGCCTTGTTTGTATCTTGGTGGTGCTACATTACTAAGTTTCGTACTGGTCGTTTAATTTAGACGTGTTTTGTTAACGTGTTTTCCAATGCAGTTTGATCATGTATTTTCTGTTTGGTGTTTCTCCACGTCCTGTTGTGTCATTCCAGCTTCTTCCAGCTGCACTAGTGAGCTCTGTGCGGTTGGCCAGGCCACTGTCCTCCCTCTTCACTGGGGTCGTGAGCGCTGGAGACTGACAGGCTGGCCAGAGCTGAGGGCCCAAGACGAGGCCTGGTTGGGGGACCAGCTGGCCTTGGAAGCATGGTCCAGTGTGGTCCCTTACCTTGAGGGTCCTGGAGGCCACGTGATGCCCCCTTTTGCCTCCGTGGAGCACGCTGGCCGGGCTCTGGACATGGCCTGTGTTCAGGTCTGTCACTGTTGCTCACGCTGAGTCAGCCTCCTCTCACGTACGAACCTGGTCTCTCTGACTGCCGTTCTGTGTGAGCATCTTGCTAAATGCTGGAGCTTTAAAGAGGACCAGGATGTGGTCTTGGCATGAAGTCACCCCCAAACTAGATGGGGAGACAAGCCCATAAGGAGGCCATTAGGGACCATTGCCAGAGTATAGGGCTCAGCTGGGAGGGGGATGCACAGCTCAGCCAGCAGGGGGCGTGTGGGGCATGTGCATGGGCCCCGCAGAGCCCAGGACCTTCTGGCCAGGACTCAACATGCAGGGGAATGTTGTTGTTGGGTGCCCTGGAGTCAACTCCAACTCACAGCGACCCTGTGTGACAGAGTAGAACTGCCCTATAGGGTTTCCAAAGCCGTAATCTTTATGGGTGCAGATCGCCAGGTCTTTCTTCTGTGGAGCCTCTGGTGGGTTAGAACCACATACCTTTTGGTTAGCAGCTGAGCGCTTAACCATTGTGCCACCAGGGCTCCTCAGGGGAATAGCATGTGTGAAAACGCCGCTTCCGAGGACAATATTGGTCAGCTCTCAAAAGGTCCTGTGAGGTACTGCTACGGTTCTAGTTCTGGTTCTCACAGCGGCTTTTCCCCCTCGATTGTGTTTATTTTTGGAGTCAGTAATACATGTACATGTTGCATAATTCCAAAGCAGGAAAGTAAGGGCCAAGAGTGAAAAATGAGCCTGCTTCTCCTGCCCCCAGCCTCCACGGCTCTCCCTCACACTATTCTGACGGACCCTTCCAGAGAGGGTTTACGCGTGTGTTTCTAAGAACTTTTCATTCGGATGTGATTTCAGAATTCTAGAATAGCTGCAAGAATCATATAAGCGGCTTCCGTGTCCTTTTTACCCAAATTCACTGAGTAGTCATGTTCTGCTGCAGTGTCGTTCTGTCTCGGTGTCTGTCTGTGTGTGTGTGCATGCGTGTGAGTGTGTATGCATGCGTGTGTGTTTCGGTGTATAAACATATTTTTCTGAACCATTTGGGAGTCAGTTGGAGCTTTCATATCCCTTTATCCCTAAATATTTCCCTATGTATTTCCTAACGGTGAAGATGTTCTTTTACAGAATCACTGTAGTCGTCAGAATCAGGAAATTTAACATTAATACAGTGCTCTTGTCTGGTCCTCAGTCCATATCCCACTGTGCCAGCTGCCCCAGTGTTGTGCTTTACATCTTCCTCTCGTAGTTCGGGGGCCAGTGCAGGCTTGTGTGTCAGGTCTCTTTGCCTCCTCTGACCAAAAGCAGCCGCTCAGCCTTCCTTTGTGTTTCTGATCGTGACGTGTTTGAAACTTGCAGGACAGTTTTTTTGTGGAATATCTGACGCTCCTCGTGATGGTGAGGTTTGACTAACCAGGAACGTCCTGAACGAGATCTGTGTCCTCGGTGCGTCCCGGAGGGAGGCGTGTGGCGTTGGTTTGTCCAAGGGGGACGAAGTTAACTCTGATCACTTGGTTAAGGTGGTGTCTGCTCATCTTTTTTCTGCTGAAGAGTTACCCTTTGTCCTTTTCTAATTAAAAAGTAATTTGGGAAGAGATACTTCGGGGTCCATGCATTTATACTATGTCTTTACTTTCTCCATGTGGACGCTAACAAGTGTTACACTGTTCCGCACCTCACTTTTTAAATTTAACAGTGTGTTTTTCGATAATGGTACATATTGTTGTTGTTGTTAGCTGATGTCCAGTAGGCCCCTGACTCGTGGCGACCCCATGCACAATGGAACGAAACACTGCCTGGTCCTGTGCCGTCCCGGTGATCGGTGGCAGATTGGACACGTGTGATGATGGTGCCCAGAGCAGCCTCGGTCTTTATAATGCCATTCTGTAGAGCCCGTGATGGATTTCACAGCCCTCTGCTGACGGACACTGGGATTACTCCTGATTCTCTGTTATTCCAAACATTTTCAGAGCCATGCTTCAGACATCCGGCCCTCATCGTGTGGTAATGCATTCACGGCACCTCAGGCCTGGTGTGGGGACAGGGGAGCGTGGAGGAGGCTCTTGTGGTGACACATTCACGGCACCCCAGGCCTGGTGTGGGGACAGAGGAGCATGGAGGAGGCTCTTGTGGTGACACATTCGCGGCCCCTCAGGCCTGGTGTGGGGACAGGGGAGCATGGAGGAGGCTGTTGTGGTGACACATTCGCGGCACCTCAGGCCTGGTGTGGGGACGGGAGCGTGGAGGAGGCTGTTGTGGTGACACATTCACAGCCCCTGAGGCCTGGTGTGAGGACAGAGGAGTGTGGAGGAGACTCTTGTGGTGACACATTCACGGTGCCTCAGGCCTGGTGTGGGGACAGAGGAGTGTGGAGGAGACTCTTGTGGTAACACATTCACGGCACCTCAGGCCTGGTGTGGGGACAGGGGAGTGTGGAGGAGGCTCTTGTGGTGACACATTCACAGCACCTCAGGCCTGGTGTGGGGACAGAAGAGCGTGAAGGACGCTGTTGTGGTGACACATTCACGGTGACCTAGGCCTGGTGTGGGGACAGAGGAGCATGGAGGAGGCTCTTGTGGTGACACATTCATGGCACCTCAGGCCTGGTGTGGGGACAGAGGAGCGTGAAGGAGGCTGTTGTGTTTTAGCTTGAGCACCTTGGGTGGATGGAAGTCTCATCCTCCAGGAAAAGAAATAAAGGCAGACCGTGAGTAACGGAGTCTAGTCCATAGGGTTGCTATGAGTCATCATCGACTCGGCGGGACCCCACAACAACAGTCGTGGGATGTGAGTAGTCTAGATGCTTCCTTTTGTAGCACATCCATAGGCCTTTGCTGATCTGAACGCTCTGAGGTGGGGGAGGAGGCAGAGTCACACAATGGCTGAGAGAGTGCGTCCCTGGGACAGACCTGTGGATGGAGCGCCACCTGCCACCCGCTCGCTGTGGCCGGGAGCAGGCGGTTCACTCTCGTGCCCCAGTCTGCTCACTCTCCAGAGGGGCTTCGGACGGTAGTGCTGTCTTTGCCCGTTAGAGAGCTAATACGTATAAAACGCCTAGGAGCGCTTAGCATGTAATAAACACTCAAAAATGTTAGTTATTGTTACTTTCACGTGAAGTGACCTGTCTGTTCTCTAACTTGATTTGGAGAATACTGAGCTATGTGGTGGGCAGATGTTTTCTCGTTTGTGTGCAGCGGTTCCTAACCGGCGTTCAGTGGCGGGTGGCAAGGAGCTAGCTGATGAGAAGCAGGCTTGCTGGAGGTAAGGGCCTTTCTGGTCAGGGGCTAAGCAGCCCAGCTGGAATCTTCTCTTGGACTTTATCACTGGGGTAACTTTTGGAAATTAAAATCATACTTAAAAAATAAAGCTGTCAAGACTTATGGAAAAAAATGTGAGTATATATGGATGGAGATGGAAGGTTAATATGCAAAAAATTAAATTGCTTTGTTAGGTTGGTGGGATTATGGTTTTTTTTCTTTCTTCAGAATTCTGTTTAAATATCAAATCTAAAACCAAAAAACAAAAGCAAAGCTTTCAAAGTTAAGTAATTATTAGATTTGTACTTAGTGGCAAGAGAAAACACAGCCAGCAAACAGCCTGTATTTGCAAGACATTTAAGCTGGTTTTGGGAGGCGTAGATTACCTGCGCATTACTGGGAAGACGTAAGTGGCAAATATTTGCCAACGTTGGAGAAGCAAATTGCCGATGTGAGCAATGCCCACAGACGTGGTTTTACATGCTGCATGTTATTCCGTCCAGCGAGCGCTGTTTTTCTTTATCTTGTGCTCTGTTATTAGCCTGGGGATGAAAGTAGCAGGTAGAACTAACTGCTCACTCTCCTCTTTGCATTGACTCAATATTGACTCAAAGGCTGCCTGCTTTAAATCCTGAGAAAATGGCACTCGGAGGCGGTCCTGTGATTCACGGAGTCTGGGGAACAGGGTGCTCGTTGGCAGTACGCAGACCGTGCGGTTTCCTAGGGACTGTGGGCGTCTGCCACACCACGGGGGCCTCTGGGGACATACTGTGCGTGAGGCTCAGCCCTGCATGCTCCAGAAGACCCACAAATCAGTACAAGAAGGGGTAAGGCCAGGCTCCCAGCTGAGCATCTGGCCCGCGGCGTAGAGATTGAGAACGTTCCCCTACACGGAGTGGAGAAGGTTTGGGGGAAGGGGCGGTGTAAGCAAAGGTGCTGAGCTGTACACTCTGGAGCAATCACTCGACGTAGATGACACCCCAGGAGTCCCTCGTGGCCATGTGGATAGGAGGAGGTGGGGCCAGGCTCGGGGCGAGTCCTTGGTGTGTGGTGGCCATGTCGTTGCTCACACAGGATGGACTCCTGCCAAACGACTCAAGTGTGAAGGGCAGGTCACACCTGCCACCACCCTCTTGTCAGTGTGAAGGGCAGGTCACACCTGCCACCACCCTCTGTCAGTGTGAAGGGCTGTTCACACCTGCCGCCACCCTCTGTCAGTGTGAAGGGC